TGGTTATTGGATATTATATATACTTGACAACTTCTTCACTCTCTGTACATAAAAGTATTTTTTGCCTGAACTATATTTTCTGTTGTTGCTTTTCAAAGATAACCTTGGTAGACACAAACTGCATTTTTAAATTAATGATTATATATATTAAGGGGGGAAGGCTGAGAAACCTGCCCTATAAAGGAACCAAATTCCTTGTAAAGAGAATAACTGCTGTGCAATACTTGGCAACATTGGCCACCATCATGACTTTGTGAGATAGGATTTACATTTCTGTGGATGATTTTAAACCAACTCTTAATTGCAGAATTGTTTCTAACTTAGGCCAACTGAATAGTTTCTGAACATAAACGGCCTGCATCATGTGAAGCATTCTGATTTTAGAATTCTGCTATTTTTTTTAATGGAGGTAACTGGCTGATCTGTATTGTTCACATCTTTTGTATATTTTATGGTAGCCTGAGAGAATACAAATGAAACTGGCCACCGTGGCTAATTCTGGCATCTTTCGTAATAAGCACTGTACCATTTGATATATAAATGTAAATTATTATCCCACAATGGGGAAATTCACTATCTGCATTGGGATGCCATTGTGCGGAGCCCGGGGAGCAGTATGGGAGGGGTTAAGAGTTTTGTTCAGGAACCAGGAGTGGAGGCTCTGGCGATCAAATCAGGTACCTTTAACCATCCCAGAGCATAAGAGCACTGCTCTAACCGATAGGCCAACATTCCCTAATATATATATATCTATATATATATATATAGATATATATATATAGATATACATATATAGATATATATCTATATATCTATATATATATATATATATATATATATAGATAGATATATCTATATATATATATATATATATATATATATATATATATATATAGATAGATAGATAGATATAGATATATATATATCTATATATAGATAGACAGATACACTATATTGCCAAAAGTATTTGCTCACCTGCCTTGACTCACATATGAGCTTAAGTGACATCCCGTTCCTAATCCATAGGGTTCAATATGACGTCGGTCCACCCTTTGCAGCTAGAACAGCTTCAACTCTTCTGGGAAGGCTGTCCACAAGGTTTAGGAGTGTGTTTATGGGAATTTTTGACCATTCTTCCAGAAGCGCATTTGTGAGGTCGCACACTGATGTTGGACGAGAAGGCCTGGCTCTCAGTCTCCGCTCTAATTCATCCCAAAGGTGTTCTATCGGGTTGAGGTCAGTACTCTGTGCAGGCCAGTCAAGTTCATCCACACCAGACTCTGTCATCCATGTCTTTATGGACCTTGCTTTGTGCACTGGTGCACAGTCATGTTGGAAGAGGAAGGGGCCAGCTCCAAACTGTTCCCACAAAGTTGGGAGCATGGAATTGTCCAAAATGTCTTGGTATGCTGAAGCATTCAGAGTTCCTTTCACTGGAACTAAGGGGCCAAGCCCAGCTCCTGAAAAACAACCTCACACCATAATCCCCCCTCCACCAAACTTTACACTTGGCACAATGCAGTCAGACAAGTACCGTTCTCCTGGCAACCGCCAAACCCAGACCCGTCCATCAGATTGCCAGATGGAGAAGCGCGATTCGTCACTCCAGAGAACGCGTCTCCACTGCTCTAGAGTCCAGTGGCGGCGTGCTTTACACCACCGCATCCGACGCTTTGCATTGCACTTGGTGATGTATGGCTTGGATGCAGCTGCTCGACCATGGAAACCCATTCCATGAAGCTCTCTGCGCACTGTTCTTGAGCTAATCTGAAGGCCACATGAAGTTTGGAGGTCTGTAGTGATCGACTCTGCAGAAAGTTGGCGACCTCTTCGCACTATGCGCGTCAGCATCCGCTGACCCCGCTCCGTCAGTTTACGTGGCCTACCTCTTCGTGGCTGAGTTGCTGTCGTTCCCAAACACTTCCATTTTCTTATAATACAGCTGACAGTTGACTGTGGAATATTTAGGAGCGAGGAAATTTCACGACTGGATTTGTTGCACAGGTGGCATCCTATCACAGTTCCACGCTGGAATTCACTGAGCTCCTGAGAGCGACCCATTCTTTCACAAATGTTTGTAAAAACAGTCTGCATGCCTAGGTGCTTGAATTTATACACCTGTGGCCATGGAAGTGATTGGAACACCTGATTCCAATAATTTGGATGGGTGAGCAAATACTTTTGGCAATATAGTGTATAAATAAAACAATTGCCATAAAACAAACATCATTATGTTACAGAATTTAAATCAATTTATGTATAACCATTGACTAGGCCAGTACAAAGCAAGAGTAAAACTGGGCAATTAATCAATAAAATTGATTACTTTTCTGTTTATAAAGATTTCATTGTAGGAAAACCTTGAATATGTTTTCTACCAATGCATTTACTGAAGAAATTAATGCAACTTTTAATGCAATTATCGATGCAATTTTTTAGCATCTATTTATCATATGTAGTATAATCATACATATATCATACTACATATGATAGTATGATATATGTATGTAGGACACAAAACAATTGTTACTTTATCACAATTGTTTTATGTCCTAGCCTGCTAAAATAACATAAAATAAAGTGTCAAAGTAACTAAATATGATTAAGTAGATGCCAAAAATGGTTGAATTATTTTTTTTCAGTTTAGCCTTAGCCCTGTGTGATATCAGTTTAATCACTATTTCTTTCTAGATGTGTACCTATAAATGATAAACTACCTGACTGTGCAGCACCATTTGCTGCAAATGTTCTTTATACTTTCATTATTTGTTGTAAGACATTGCTTAACCAGCATTTTCACAGTTTAATTTTGTTGCCCTTTTAATCAAAGCAATCTCCAAAATTGGATGATTAAAATAAAAGCTAGTGTTTGAAAGCAAAGCATGTCATTTGTCATTTTTTTTTCTGAAACTTAAGCGAGAGAAAAAAAAAAAACTATTTGGATTTGGTTAGAAAAAATTCAGAGATTAGATTTTTAAACCATACCACCCAGCCCTTAGTACAAAGGCGGACTTGCTGTTGATCTTCAGCTTATTATCCTGTTGCATAATTAATTAATGTTGTACCTGTTTATAATCCAAACTGATTAACTGTGATAAAAGAGCAACTGATCCAATATGGTCTAAGTATGGCATTATGAAATTGATTGATAAACAATGTTTGAGCCATTCGACTTTTACATGACAGATTATGATCCTCTGATGAAATCAAAGTAACTCCCAGTGACTTTTTGCTGGAAGATTAATTCTACTGAAGTCAGATGACTAAATTCAAATCATTTATCATCAAAGCCAGTGCAAAACATCCCCCTGAAAGGTCTGAACTGCATTATCAGAATGTAATGACTTAAGAAAGCCTTTTTTTTCTATTTATATAAAGAACAGACCAAAACTACAAAATGGCATAATGACTAGCACCCTCCTAAGAGTCATACTGACTCTGATTCTGAATTATTAGATAGACACCATGAAGCTGGAATGATCTATCTATCCATCAAAGCTGTATTTTTCTGGGGAAATGTCCATCAGACAAGACACTCAAGAATCTCTTGCTGAATTCTGTGGAAAGCCTCACACCCAGCATTAGGTTCAACAAACCCAATTACTTACCATGAGAATGGCTTTATTGATTCAAATGTTAACTATAATATTTAGATTCCAAATTTAATCTGAACTTAATTGTTTAATCGCTAGGATGGAAACTGAATTGTTTTAACCAGTGTTGAAACTCTATATGATTTTATTGAAATGTCTTTGTAAAGTGGTCATGATATTTTTGATGAATCGGTTTCATATACATAAGCTGAACTGAATCAGGTGATGGGTATGCTTTTAAACACTGTATTTATATCAGTTTAATTTTTATTTCAAAGTTGTTTAAAAAAACTAAATTCTATGCATTCATTTGATTTAAGACGTAATAAAAAAAATAAGTTTCTTTGTTTTAAAAGCCCCAAAAATTACAGGTAATGTAAAATGTTAATTAATTATTACCAACTGTGTTGATAATATGTGATGAATACATTTGTGTGTCCTTTAAGCGATCAGAAACTCTGCTTTTGTGTGGGATTTCTCAGCATCATATTAGAGCATAATAATAATGTGTTTAGGATGTATTCTCTTGAATATGCTCAAAAGGAGTACTGGCTGATTTTAAGCTTAAATCTATAGATCTTACTCAGAAATTGTTAGGTCTAGTAAAAGTCTGTGTTTTTTTTACTGTAGTTCTGAGAAGTCTGAAAAACATTTGCATTCGTAGGATAATGGTTTAAAAATGGGGGAGAAAAAAAAGTTAAACCTAATTTTCTCCTTATCTTCCATGTTTTATCTAACATGATAAATCTGAGACATTGGCCATAGACTTCACATGAAACCTATTATTTAACAATACAACATAAAATGCCCATGTAACTGTACATCATCATAGAAAAGTCACTTTTTTTTTAATATGCATGTGTACCTAAATTAGTTTTAGGTCAAATGTGGCCTACTTTGGATGAAGGTAATACATAAAAAAGGAGTTCTCTGCTCAGGGCATTGCGCTCCAAATTACCTCTGCGAGAAGATATGATGCCCAGAGGTGATGAGATCTAGAAACGTCCTAATTTCCTCTCATGAATGCAAGTCAAAATAACTTTCAAAGGAATACAGCACTTAATGCAGCTGATAAAGTAATAGAAGATACACAGCATGACCACCGTTTCGCAGCTCCACTCAATTCATCAAAGTGTTAAACTCCAGTGATAAAAATATCCAGCTGCAGCACACACTAAATGCGTGCCAGCCTCTCGTCTCCTGTTGCACGTTGGGAACTCCAAGGGGGGTGTCATGATCAACTAGTGCACGATGACCCGTATCACCCAACCGGCAAAAGCACGCGCGCAAAATAATAATAATAACATAATGAGCGCAGACGCGCGCGCCCCCCAACACAAAAACATAAACACTAACGCAGATGAAACCGCGTTACAAGTCCCTCTCTGTTTTCCTGCGGTGACTTACCAGAAATATCAGGAAATTTTCGGTCGATGATATATATGGGCATCACATCCGCTGATCAGATATCCATCAAATCCACAAAGGGAGCGCAAAATGCTGATCTGTCCGCCACTGATGATCTCTCTGCTTCAACCCTTGATGCCAGCCAGACACGAACCTTTCCCGCCTCTATCTTCTCCTCCTTCCTCTGCCTCTCTGTTTTAGTAATACATATTCAGATAGGACCGAGCACGCTCTCGCGCACGGATTCTCTCCCTGAAACTATCACCCGCACTGTTCCACATCTACCCAGAGAGGATCGCTGAATTAGAATGATCCATCAGGGGCGTGCGCAGCGCAACCGCTCAAGTGAGAGATCCACACACGGGTGGAGAGGAAGGGGGTCCCATATTTATGAAGCCTGTGACAGACAGTTTTATACAGCGAGCTATGCAACCCTAAAGTTCCCTTTCTTCTAGATCATTACCTACTGCAACAAAAGGTGTTTTGTAGAGTTACCGTCTGTTGGAGATAAACTGCACCAAGATGATTTTTCAGGCTCAGCAGTGGGACACAGCCTTGAGGCTCTGTCCTCAAGGGCGTAGGTTTGATCTCAACTTTGGTAGGGACACTATTGGTCTTAAGTTGAATTGGTCTGATGTCTTTGGTCCTATGCGTTATGCATGCTCCATTATTTGTTATGCTTGACACGAGCATCATGGCATTTCATTTAGTTGAAAGAGAAAACATCATTTGTTTCTACATTTATTCAAATTTTATAAGGACTGCACACAAAAGATGCTGTTTATCAATGTTTGAAGCATCAGTGGCTTGGAGTAATGTAAAATAGGGACAAACTTACACTTTAAAAAGGTTACATTTGAACTTGCCTTTTTAACCAATCTAAATATCTCTGTTGTATATGTATTTATCCGGGTGTTTTCAATATGCAGAGGTAAAACCCACTCTTATTTTTTTTATCTTTTTCTTTGTAAAACAAAGCAAAATAACATATTCAAGGGACTGCAAATAGAGTTATTGTTATTGCGTATGAAAACAGGAATGAGTAGAATAAATATTTCACTCTCATCATATTGATTTTAGTTCTCTTGTTCTTTCAAGAGTCTACTAAAGCCAATAATTCTAATTTTAAAGAGATGAACAGAAGAGTGCAGAATATTTTGCGGTATCTTGGCATAATTTTTCATGTCTGAGTCAATTTAAGTTGTTCTGGATGCCAGTGACAAAAATGCTCATTATCATATTTCCCTTCATAAATTTCAAACGGATTTTAAGATAATCTCATTTTAGCATAGAAAAACCCACTGTTGAAGACCTCCGCTTTATGCTATAAATAAAGGTTTTTGTGCTATTTTACCATAAGATTATAAATCTATTAGACTTAGACAGATTTTATTAGTCATTTTGTATACAGAAGTGTAAACAAAAAAAATATTTTGCTAAGTACAGTACTATTAGTACTATAAATTACAGAACTGGATGTTATAGTTGATTAATATGCCGTTCAAATCAATGGTAAAACCAAGGAATCATTGTTATAACTGAAAATCTGCTCAATTACCAGGTATTATTAATAACTTACCTTAATAACTGGACGTTTTGGACCACTGTTAATATCTAAGTTGTTTCCACCATCAGTAAAGGTCAATAACATTCTTTACTTTATACATGTTTATAAAGCAGAGTTAATAGTCATAAACCACAAGAAAAAAATCTTTGTCCCTGTCTTATCAAGATATTGAAGGACTCATAATCTCAGCAAAACACACTTGAAATAATGTTACCTACTATTAAACATAATAATCCATATCACATATTATTGTGTTTAATAAACTATGCAAACACTGCAAGCTACTGGAATAAACACATCATATAAACACAGAATACATAAAAGAAACAGTAGACATAAAGAGTAGAGTCTATGATAATATTCAGTTCATTAGCCAAGCTGTTTTGTTTCACTGAGGGCATGTCCAGCAGCATAAATGGTATACAGCAGACAATGTTGGGGAACAATTGAAGTACGAGGGCCTGCTCAGTCACAATAAACTTAGGCCTCTTCTGCAGTTCCTTTTAGGTATTTCCTAGATAAATCCCATTGGCTGGAGATACTTGGGCAGAAAAATAATTGACCACTAAGTCACTTCAGGTCTGGGAATCCATGGATGCTCAAAGGATGTTGGATTGAGTAAGTTTTAGGTTTCCCTCAAAAGTGTAATCCCATCTCAACAAACTGGATGGAGGATGGAAGGATGGATGGACAGATGGGTATGTCACATTCTCTAGATGTTTGGTTTTCTTTTTTCTATATGTTTTTTCAGTATTTTTTTGTTTATATCTAAAAGTGGATATATGAGTACAGGTTTGTTAATTAAGTTCTCTTCATCGTAGTTAATTATTTTGTATTTGGTTATTAGTATTTTATGTTGTCTTCATTGTACATTTAAAAGTACAACAGTTAGTCAAGGTAGGTGCTTCATGAAGGGGACAGATAATATGTGCTCTAAATGCAACAGTGATAGCCATTCATTTGGCAGGTCAGGGAGAGGATCTTGCTCTGAGTGCAGAAATTACGAGTGTCACTCAGATATGCATTATTCAACTGAAATATCACTTTGAGATTGACTTTGAAGAAGGAATAGCATTAGAACAAACAAAAAGGTGCATCAGGTAAATATTTAAATCCTTCAATTTATCATGCTGCTTTGGACTACATGGGATTGTTTTTGGTTCAGCCCTTAAGATTTTGACACCTTCAGTAGACAGTCGTCAGAGCATTTCACTGTCAGTCAAAAATATTAGTGAATATCAATTTATACGGACAATATTTCTATACACATTAGCATGGGTTGCCAGCACTTACGGTATCAGGTATTAATATGGATTGCATTGTTGGTGCAGTAGAAGTTGTCTTGTACCACAGTCCAGGGAGCACTATTTTCACCATTGCCTGATCTTAGCAGTAATTGATAAATCATGTTAGCCACACACACAGGCCAGTTGACACCCTCAGCCTGTCCCAGTAGAAATTTTTAGGATATGAGACTCAACCTATGGTATAGCATATTTTGTATATGATACTTACATACAGTATATAGTAAATAACTTAGCAAATAAGTAAGGTCTTGATCAGTTAAAATTAGAATCAAATATTTGATGAAGCCTTGCATAAAAATTTCCATTTCTAAATAACCTTTTCCAGTGGCAACAAACATTTGTTGCCACTGGAACAAATATATATATATATATATATGTATAATTATTATTTAAATATTTCTTTTATTTTGATGCATGGATCACATCAAAATATGAATAATGTAACTTTTTAATGTACTGAAAATATGCATCAGTTTTGTCTTTCTACCCTTGCTCCAGTCACAGTTAATCCATAACAAAGGTTTCTGTGTGTGTGAAATTTTAAGATTTAAGCACAAAATACTACCATCAAAGTATATCTTTAGCAGTTGATGTTCTACAGTGGGAATGTCTATTTATTTTCCTTCAACACTGTTCCTGCTGACACTGATGCTTGAATGGTGGACACACTTGATAGGTACCTCATTCTAATGCAAATTAGAAACAGCACAGTCTTTTTATGATGCCTTTATCTTTATCTAGCAAGTATAAACATCAGATCACTGACATAAGTTACTCATTTATTTATGTAATCTTATCTAACATTTATCTAATCAGGAAAGTCCCATTGCGATTACTAATCTGTTCTAGGGAGTCCAGGCCAAGATAGCAGTACAGATCACAATAATTTAACTTTAGGGCCATCAGAGCTCTAACTATCATGACAGAGAGATGCAAAACTAAGCTCCACCTGTAGCATGCAGCATTTTAAAACCTCATTTTAGTACTCCTCACCTATTTTGCATACCCAAATTGAAAAGCAAAAAACTGAGGGACTGTAAGCCCAAATTACACGTGTGATACATAATTTGAAAGCTAATACCTATTACTTTCTGCATATATAAATGAAAATTGGGTGAATAAAACACAACCCAAGCTGCATTACTTCAAACATGACTCAATGTTGGGGGGTTTTATTCTCGAAAATAATAGGTATTTTTTTCACAGCAGTAATAAAGACATGCTTGAGAATAGACATGTCTCATTGTATTATGTGGTAATGTGGCCTTTTTGTTAAGTTGTTGCATGTTTTCTAATTTTGGATTTTCTTTATTTTTGAACTTGTTTGCTTGTTTTCAATTTTGTGTGTTGCATGTTTTTTTGGATTTTGTTTGGAGGCCACATTGCCACACACACCTGGACACGCCCACAACGGCACAGGTGTTCCCAATCAACTAAGCAGCGTGCCGACTGGGACGCTGATTTAAAAAAGGCAGCTGCTTGGTTGGAGGGACAGACACCGGACATGGGAAGGTTTGGTTGGGGAAGGCCGATCTTGGAGGGAGCCGGACGGAGCGAGTGAGAGGGAAGCAGCGGGAGAGCCTTGGGGACTGACGGCAGGAGGCCCGCCGGAGCGAGGTGGAGAGACGCGCACCGGAGAGACGCGCACCGGAGAGAGAGACGCGCACCGGAGAGGGAGACGCGCGCCGGAGAGGAGCGCGCCGGAGAGAGAGACGCGCACCGGAGAGACGCGCACCGGACAGAGAGACGCGCACCGGAGAGGAGCGCGCCGGAGAGACGCGCACCGGAGCGAGCGAGGTGCAGGGACGCGCACCGGAGCAAGGTGCAAGGACGCACGCCGGAGAGACGCTCACCGGAGCGGGGTGCAGAGAGGCCCGTCATGGAGCGAGGCGCAGAGGCACGCTGGCGAGAGGCGCGTGTTGGAGGAGACCTCGCAGGCCAGCTACGCTGGAGAGGCCCACACGCGCAGCGTGCCGAAACGAGGACCCAGCGCTGGGGTGGACGGTGCCCTCCATTATACCCGCCAAGTGCGCGTCTTTTAACAGACTTCCCCATTGACTCTGCTGCTCTCCACCATCTGGATTTTTATCTTTCTTTTTAATCTTTTCTCTTTTATCTATCTTTTTTATCTTTTTCCTTTTAACGTATTTTATTGAACACTTTTAGCGAGCTCGTCTTTTTACGTAAATTATTGAACTTTTAATCTATTAAACTTTTTAAGGCCCTGCTCACAATCGCCGCAGTCTGTTTGGTTTTTATGTTTTTTTTAAAGATGATCGCACCTCTCGGGTGCCACAATTACGTTTGTTCTACATCTTGTCAATCAAAAGGCAGAACATTTCAGACCTTGCTATAACAGTTCTAGAGCTGTGGGGCTTTGCACTTTTGGTGTTACCAGCATCTCTAAACCTCTGCAAATGTGCAAGATTGTGCCAAATGCTTTTACTAAACTATTCAGCCCATAGAATAAAA